CTTCGCCACCACTTCGCCACCACTTTGCCACCACTTCACCACCACCACCACCACCACCACCACCACCACTACTACCGCCACCACCACCACCACCAACAAAACCGAAGCCCCTACCGCCCCTACTGACACCACCAGCTGAACAACTGCGCACACGGCGAAATGCCAAAACGGTAGAAGGCGTTTTGCATGTTCTTGCTGGTCACCACTGTTCGAGCAGCGGATGTGCATCGAGACCAGGTTGATAGTGCGGTTGTCCGCCTAAGTCTTCATATTCTTCTGGCCAACGCGAATAGGTGGCATGGTGATTCTCATGAACTTGTGGCAAGTTGGTGAACACCACAGACACAAACGGTACCCGACGCAACATCGTCAGCCGCAGAAGCAGCAACAACAGCAGCAAGAAAAAAAACAACAGTCACCGCCACTGGCGCAACCGTGACGATTGTCTTTCTTTTTCTACAACTAGTGCTTCTACGTCATCCTCGTACTTCAACCCGCAACTGTTGCGATAGCTGCAGGTACTAGCATACTACATCGCTCCAGAACAACAGCATTGGCAACCGCAACAGCCTCCCGCTTTTACTCGCACCAGTCGTAGCAGTACTTGAAGATGCTACCACTATGTGCTGATCTGTTCATACTACTTGTCCTCCTCCTGCTTGAGAGAGTTCTTGTTTAATTTGTTCAGTTCTACTGGCTCCAAAACTAGACGTAAGGTAAGAATTTGACTGGGAGTCCTTGACATATTACTATCCAAGGATGCCAAACCAAAATCCAAGCCCCACCATAAACAAGCTAATCAGTGGTGCTTTGGCAGAGAATTCAATTCAATAGATCAAAGTGTGAGCTCTCCACTTACTTCTTCCCTTAGCCGCACGCATCCTGACATGTTCGTGCACACGTGCACGATGTGCACGTGTTGGAGCAGTCCAGGGGAGTCGTTGCAGATTTTTGGAAGTTGCATGAGGTTACACGGTCCTGGCGGCTATCGAGGACACTACTGTCCAGATTGGCTTTCACATGGCACTGCGGGTTGGAGTAGCATGCAATCAAGACTCTTGCGGCACTCCTTACGCATCTTCAAAAAGCTACACGCGTGAAGTTGACAGGCGCCTGCTGACGGTGGGACGAGCTGGTTCCGCAAAGAGTCAGCTTCCCGATTTGGTATATGTTTTATAGACAATTGAATCGAGTTCTTTCAGTTTGGGTGGCTCGTCTCGCATGGACCTCCATCAGCTGATGTAAACAGCTGCGTCTGGCGATGGGTCGTTAAGGTGCTGGGTTCGCCTCAGAAATCCTTGGGGGCGGCTGCCTGAGAAGATTTGTGCTGTGGAGTTCAGAGGTTTCCAGGATGTACGTCAACCAGCATTTTTACCAGCCAAAGGCAACCTCAAATGCACCGGGATCAGTTGCACATGCTGCGCGATGGAAGTTGTCATCTGAAATCAACGTTCAGCAAATCACAGACTGCATGGACTGCTATCATGTATGTCACGCTTCGTGTGCCCTGGCATGCCATGGCAGCGTGCCATGCCCAAAGACATTCATGGCGAACCGATCGCAATGAGGCTGTGAGGCCGTTTGCAATGTCCTTGAAGAGCCCTGCTTCATCCGCCATTTCGGCAATAGCAGCAGAAGGAAGATTCGGAGTTTACACTTGGCAGAAATCCAGCAACAGCGGCGGCACCAGCACTAGAACCAGCGCCACCGCCGCCACTGCCACCTTCACCACGCCCGCCCTCGCCACCGCCCACCGCCCACGATGCGAGTGTGTCGCGCGTGTTTTCGTGGCCTTGGTTTGTGTGGGCTTCTCAGACTGGTGTTGCCTTCAAAGCACGCAGAAACTTTCCTCTCGCGAAAGAACTGGTCGTTGGAAAGCCCTTAGTCGTACGGAATGCCGGCACTCCGATCATCCAGGCTGGTGTCCACACAGCAGCATGTCTCGACCGTTAGGTGCATGCCATCATTGAGCGCATACACCGGCACAAAATCCCTTAGGCTCTAGCAGTTTAGTGGGTTTAGGTATGGAGGGTCTCAATTTCTGCAGCGTTTCTCCAGCATTCTTGGGGTGAGAGGGCCTGATGGTGGTCTTTTCCGCAGAGATGCGAACGGCAGTTGCATCGCGTTCTGAGAATCTTCACTCCCACATCGCATGCACCATCCTCAAAGCCTTCGCAGTGCACACCAACACCGTAGGACTGGACGCTGGAAGGGCCCTGCGTCGGAAACTTAAAACAACAGGCTGGCTGGGAAGAGTTGACTGGTTGAGTGCTTGTATGAGGCCAAAGTCCAGCCTATTGCCCTTCAGCACAGCCGTTTTAAATTGTGGCATCAGTCACAAGGCCATGATCTGTTCTAGCCTCTAGCCCAAGCGGGTTCGAGATACAGATTGCATAGGCTCGACGAAATGGCACTGCAGGTGACAAGGAGGTGCCGGCAGCGTACCCTTGTGCTGATTATGCGAGTGTCGACACCTTGCACGCATAGGAAGGTCCAGAGGGGCCTGAAGAGGATCCAGGAACCTTTTGGATGAAGCAGGCCAGTGCATCTCTACATCTGGACAGCTCAGCTTTAGCCTTTCCAACATGCCCCCAGGAGGACTTCTTCCACGAATTCGCAACAGTTGGCGTTTCGGAGTATCGCAGCGCGGCAGCACATCGCGTTAAAATGTTATGCAGCGATATCAGGAAGTTTCGCCAGCGCGGTAAGCCTGCAGTTGCCATCATAGGTTGTCAGACATGGCGATCAGGTCCTAGCTATGTCTCCACGGTGCTTCGCTTGAAGCCGAAGCTCTCGAAGGAAGCACCCACGCAGGTTGGATGCAGTGCAGGTGGCCAGTGATGCTTCGCAGCATCCTCAACACAGGTGGCTGCTACCTTGCAGCTGTTGGCTCCTGCTGAGCACACCCACCTGGGTGACATCAAGCGCTTAGATGCCCGCCCTCGGTTGCAAGCAGCTTTGGGCACGTGTGGCGCGCTGCAAAGCATGTGCAGGTTGTTATCTCTGTCCTGCAAGACTCGGACGAGCTTTTCAACCGGAACAAGCGCAGAAAGTTTTCATCTACCCGTATTGAGCTGCTGGAGCCACCTGGCAAAGCATGTCCCCGGCCGGCTCATCGGTTCACACAGGTGGAATTTAACAGCAGCCCTCACTCACGCAAGATGCAACTCAGGATCACATCGCCACCAGACCCCACTTCTCCCACGAGCCCAGACTACATGGTGAGTAAGCCCTGTATCAGTCCTGTATCCAATGCATTTTGCTCCGTCAGCAACTGCTATTGAGGACTGCAGGACAGATCCGGGGAAGTCGACACGTCGCATCGTCCAGCTTCGGTACGCAGCGAGAAGTGCTGCTGCCGGTGGAACTGAAACCAGGTGACAGTCGCAATCAACTTGCTTTCTTGGTTCTCGTGCTGGTTTCCTCATGTCATGCTGACGGTGCGTGGGATTTTTTCTGAGGTGCGCATTACCTGGTTGTCATCCACTGGCTACAGGTGTCGCCGGCGAGCAGCTGGAACAGCGAGTGCACGCTACGGGCAGGGTGCTGAGCAGCGGAGCCCCACAGTGACTTGTGGCATCTCGCAGCCAGCATGCGCAGCGCATGGCCGATGAGGTCTACGCCCCCTGTCATACCAGGCTTGATCATGGCCAAACCTCGATGGAAGCTCAGCGTGAGGCCTACGAGGCGGCAGCCATGGGACCACGCGGTGCATGTCTGAAAGAAGAACAAGGCCGGAGCAAAAGCATAGAGATTTCAGGAAAGCTACAACAAGTCATTTTCTGGATGTCTGTTCTGTCTCTTCAAAGGTGCCCAGCTGCGCTGCTGGAGTGACCGTGAGTCTGGGACCATCGCGCTTTGCTTCGACGCATCGGGCGCACATGCTGGGCTGCTGGCCTCACTGACGTGGAAACTTCAGCCCCTGGCCAAGTCAAGACAATTTTCTTGAATCTGCCCAGGTGTGTTGAAATTCACAAGGGTGTTCCACAACTGCTTTAATTGTATTGGAGCTTGCCCATGGCCACAAGGAATGCTTTGCTTCAGCCTAACTTCCCGAGCTGGGAGGGCAGTGTTCCAGCTGCTGGCGAAGAGCAGCACTCGCAAGTTGTAGACCTCAAGCCAGGACAGCGTGCCCAGCATGCAAGAACTCGTGGGAGAAGTAGCAAGAAAGCATTGGCCTTGTGCTTCTCAGGTCAGCTCACTGTGGTGTCATGGCTTGATCCAACCAAGTCTTTCTCGGCTACGTACACCTGGCAAGCAGCTGCAGAACCGTGCGGCAGGGCTGCAGCAAAGCCAAATGGAGCTTACCCGCTTTGGCCGCATAGCATGCCAAGGCTCAGAATGCAAGACCCCAGTTGGGACGACAGTGCCAAAATCTCAGCATTGAAGCCTGCGAGAATACAAACTTGAAGGGGATGGGCATGGAAACTGTGCTTTGCATTTCTCAAGGCCGGGACGCTTCTCTGGCGCCTACCGAGTTCTTAGCGAGGCTGATGGGGGTCCCGCAACCCTTCACGAGGAGCGCCAAGTTATGTTTCCTCGATCGTGCCGCGCAATGCGTTTGACAAAGGAGTGCTTCGAAAAGTTCATGCTGCATTAGCCTCATCAAATTGCCACGGCAACTGACAGTCGTATGTGAAGCATGGGCCTAGGCGAGTTGCGCCACGCTGCCTCCAATGCTCTGAAGCCGTAGCGCGCCTGCCGGGTCGATTTGCAGGTTCCCATTGCCTGCTCATAGGCTGATGACAACAAAACTTAGGCGTTGCTCCGCTTTCCTTGAAAGGTCAGTTCTTTGCTTACGAGGACAACCAGCTGGGCAAGCATCCTGCAGGTCTCGGATGCAAGCAAAAGCAAAAGTCTTTGCTTAAGCACACTTAGCTCTAAAAGAAGTTTGAGGCCGGGTTCATGCAGAGTGCCACACTGCATTCCAGCTCAAATTTGCCAAGCCAGCGTCTCAGCCGACGGCACTGATGCTTCAGTTCTTCAGCATTTTTGCTAAGACACAGTCATAGCACTTCATTGGCACATGGATGTCCCCGCATTGACATGCCCCGCCGCGTCATCTCAAAGCAAATTGCTCGGGCAAGCAGCGCAAAAGATGTAGAGATGCGTTACGTGCCAGACCAAAGTATCTATTGCAGCCGTTGGTTCAGAACGCACACGGCCTATACCATACAGCGATCCAAGAGCCATTTTTACCATCCCGGAGCCTTTGGGCTTGGTGCATGTGAAAGCTGAAGTCATACACAGGAGTCGGTGTCGTGCCTGCAGGATCATTCCCCTCACGCTATGCAAACTCGAGACTGAAGCCAGGCTCCCCCATACGACCAAAAGCTCCCGCTTTATGAAAACCTGCTTCCATGCGCTCACTGCGCTCACCACACGACCCAGCTCAGGGCCGGTTAATCTTCTGCACAGGGACGAAGCCCCTAGCTTAGTAAGCTGCTGAACCCCAAGTGGAATTGCCACCTGTGACATCTACCGAAGGAGGGCATTCTGCTGCATGGGGGCAGCTGCAGCCAAATATGCAAGACAGGAACAGGCCGAGCAAGCATCAGAAGAACCTTTCAATTTTAGGCGCATATAGTTTTATTGTTCCAAAAGCTGGCCTAAGTTTTTATATAAGAAGCGACAAGCAAGCCGTTTGTGCAGAGACGTCTTGTAGCTTTTTGTCGTTCTGGTTTGCGATGCCGGTTTGCCAGATCAGCATGGTTGTGATCGCACGCTCGGTGACTGAATCAACCTGCAGACTGAGTGCCTGGGAAACCTTGCACTATACTGCTTTAGATTCTAGGCTCAAATGCCTTTTCTGGTTGAGCGGTTAGTGTGCGCTGGGAGGCTAGCTTCGCTGCTCAGCAAGGGAACCTCCAGCTGTGACCTGCTGTAGATGGGAGCCGGGAGCATGGTCATCATGATGCGTTGAGTCCGAGCACTTTCTTCTAGATATCCTATTGCACAGTTGGTATATGGCAGCTGCAGCCGTCATGTGCGCCAGGGTGAGTATCCATGAGGTGATTTGATCTGACAGCTTCGTTATGGCTTGGATGGGAGCCGCGTAATAGCTTCTTTTGTGAAACCGGGTGTTTCGGGACCACGGGCAACCCTCATCCCCATTCAAAGTTTTAGTCTGAGTTAAAAAGAGATGGCAGACGACTATCCAGCCAGACAGATGCCTTGGCATCAGATTCCACATGGACTGTCGGTTTGACGGAGGGGATTGGTGTGCACTATGTCAATACCACAAACAAGACGCACACAGGCCCAAGGCATTGCCCTCGCGTGCCTCAACCGGCATGCGTGGTCGTGGAAGAAGAAAACGGGCGCATTTGAAGCATCAACGCAGGCATTTGCCGGATTAGGCTCAATCGGTGCCGCGTGGGCTCGGATAGACTGAATGCACACGAGAATGTTCACATAGGGGAAGATGAGGCCGAGGCATCATCACCGTCGTCATCATCATGGGACGGCCTTGATACGCTTGTTATTTCGTATTCCAGCCGATCACGCCATGCCAGCCACTCATTTTCAAGCTAGAAGTTCCAGCGCGCGCAAAAATGTTCTTGGAGTTGCTGGCAGTGCAGTCAGAGTGCAGCGCTGCAATCAGAGGGGCGTTACCTGTAAAACCAGTTCTCAGTGTAGCCTCGCTTAGCTCGCTTGCCTCAAAAGCTCTCCCTGTAAGGGTTTGTGATGCAGCCGTGCTGCGCAGTCACAACTTGCAAAGGCAGCTCGGGGATATGTACATGTTGTTGCGGCTTGCCCTTAGCCATTCCTGCAGCTGTGTGTTCCCGCCTGTGATACCCATGGGTCGCATGAATGGGAACAAGGCTCTTCCAATTTCACCCGAGTCTGTGAGTGTTGTTCCAATGCTTTCAGCAGATTTTTCTGGTAGACAGCAGATACTGGAGGTGCACAGGCGGTAATTGTCAATGGGGAATATGGTCCTCACACAAAAAAGGAAAGAGATCACAGGCAGCCAGTGCTGGCATTGCCTGATGGGTGTGCAGTTGCAGTGCGTGCAGCAAAAGTCTAGATAAATGGACGCAGCACAGAAGAGAGCCGACTGCGTGGGCAGCACAGGCAACCCATCCCACTGCTAACACCCCATCAAAAGAAAGATAGCAAAGGTCCTGCTTGGACTGCAGCCAGTGCACACCTCAGCGCAGGGCAATACCGCCATACATGCAAGCAGAGCAAGGGAAGTGAGGGTCTCCAGAGGCCGGTGATGCAGATAGAAGGGAAGTTCAGCGGGAAGCACTTCAACTACAAGGCTTCGGTATTGGGCTGTGGGGGGGACCAGTAACAGAGGATACTGATCAGAGAACTAGGACCGGTGAGTGCGTAGTAGCATAGTGGCAGCTCAGTAGCAGCGGGTCCGCCACTGGCAATTCGTGAAGTTGTGAAGCGCTGCATCTTTGCAGGATGGTCATTTTGGGCAGCACGGTTCAACGCTCAGCATTGCTGACCCTTTGCGCGGGGACCATGGACAGCCCGAGCCAAGGCAGCGGACCTGTCCACGAGGCGCCGGAGTTTCGCAAACTCCGTAGACTGCATTGGCCGCCACCAAGCTGCCCAAGGAATGCCACATGCGGTTCATGCGAAAGTGGGTGCCCGCCTGCTTGCATTGCAAGGACTGCTTCGTATGCCTGCAGTTCTCACGCAACCTTGGAGGGTTGCATATCAAAGGCAGTAGTACCTGCATGACAAATGCTTGGCGCGGACAATATCATGTGCAAAGGTTTGGAAAAACTGTTGAATCAAATTGCTGCCATTTTTCCCACGTCTTTGCCGTGGTACAAGCTTCCTTTGCATAGGCCTGGGGAACGGCCTCTTCTCTTCTCTGGGTGTCTGCGTATGTCGAGTACACAGTTGTATGCGGTCCTTTCTCGGAACCCATCTGGATGAAAAAGCTTTGAATCTAAGATGGGTGAAAGATTTAATGCAAGCGGTCACATCTTTCATCCAACGACAAGTGTACATTTGTCTTGCTGCAAAAGCCGTTGATGCATAGTGCTCTTGAAGCCACTGATGCTGATGACAGCCTGCTCTCAAAGTGTTCGTCATACTTCTCGCCTGCATAACTTGTGTAACTGCTTCCCGCTTGTTGAATAACAAGCATCCTTAGGAGCCCCTGGTGCCGCTGCCAGGGAAGTTGCGACCTGAGAGATTTTGGATACCAAGGAGTTTCCATGTGTCACGTGCCAAGGTTCAGCGGGAGGACCCTGAAGCTCACAGGCGGAGAGCGCAACACACATTTTTCTAGCTTTCCATTTATTGCTTGGAATTTCTTGCTAGAAGCGCACAGCCCTGCAGGTCTTCTGCTGAGGGGTTACGTGGGGATGGGGCACAACTATTTTCCAAACGCTCTGGTTGCGTGGTGCGGCTTGCAACTCGCAGTCTCAGGGAGCGGGTGACCTTGAGGCCCACCAGAGCAAAATGTAAAGTCAAACCATGTCTGAGCGAATCGGCTTGAGACTGTCTTTTGCGCTGTTGCTGATGCAAGGGCGGCTTGGGTAAGGTGAGTGGCCACAACAAGTCCTCAGAGAGCACACGGCACGAAACCTGAATCGGGATGCACGTAGCCTGCTAGCTGCATCGCTCTTACAGGAGCAGATGCGTCGTGGTTTGTTGGAGGTCAAGCTCTAGATTAACAACACACTCCAGGGTCGCGAGACGTAGAGGTTGCGCTCGAGCAGGTTACTTCTCCTGGGGGCCCGAAGAGTGTGAAGTCGGAAGAATGCCCTCGAAGTTGATGGGCTGCTAATTAGTGCAGCTTTATTCAAAGCAGAGCTGCTTCCCTGTTTTGTAGAAGACGTCTTCAATTGTAGACAGCTGCTGCTATCACTTGCGCACTTGCTCATCGCAAGCAGCTGATGTTGCTTTGACAAGCTGCTCTTGCGAGTTCATGCTGCAGGCGCAGGCGGCATTTCTCAGGCGCGCAGATAGAAGCATGGCTGCTGTTGGCCTCACAAGCAGCTGTGCAATAGAGAAAGTCTTTGTGGTCTGCCAGGGTGCCGTGCACGAGGAGTGCCAAGCTGCTTTCCAGTAGCACCAGAGCAGGTCGAGTTCACGCCTCTATCCGAACCCAAAGTGTGTGTGTGTACAACAGATTCATATCGGACTCATTCACATTTTTGGGCCGCTGCTAAGCAGTGGTCCAAAAAGAAGTTAATGCGCATTGTCGGGTCAGTCCGGCTGTATGACGGGGCAGGCCTTGAGGCTTACACCCTCTGCGATTGATAATGACAGGCCACAGCGCTTGTACGTTAGCACAGCTCGGAGCCAAGCTGAAAAGTGCCCGGCCGATCTATTCCTCGCCCTTTTTTGATTTGCTTTGCGGAGCTATGCGACTTGTCGAAAGGAGTACAAAAGGCATGAGCTCTTCTCAGGGGCCTCGACCCAAAAGCTCGTTTTGGCACGGCTGTCGTGCAGCCTAATTTAGGGATGATGCTCTTTCATGAGGTGCTCGCCCCGAGATCCAAGGCATGGCTGACAACTCCATTTCAACGCTTCAATGGCCTATGAACCAACCTTTGTGAAAGCAGCAGTCTGGAAGGTGGCGCGATGCACAACTGAAGGAACGTTTGAACACCGACTCGCTCTGAGAGTGTCATGACTGAGTCGTGGCAGCAAAGCTTTGCCAGTGGCTGATGATGGCTTGGCAAACCATATCCCGTCATGTGCCATAAGGCGAGAACTCTTCGCAAGGCCGTTGAGCACCAGTTTAAGGTGTCGTACCAAGCACTGGAAGCACTGAAGGAATGAACAGAATGAACAGGGTAGTGGGAGCGACTTGCAAAATGCAGATCGCTGTGCATGTTTGCTACCAAGGCAAAGCCAAAGCCAGCCACCAAAGACTGGGCTGGTAGCCGCCCTCGAGATCGAGCTTCGGCTTGAAGCCATGACAGCACATGCCGCTAGAAGTCGCAGGTACTGGAGTTGCCCACAAGCTCCGGAAAAGAGTGTGGCACCAAGTCAGGGACAGAAGTCCATTCCAGTCTTGAGGCAGAGAGTGCATCTAGAAGTTCCAGACAAGGTGTTGGCATCGGAAACTCTGGCACACCTGCTGATGCAGCGCATTGAAGGATTACTGCCAGCAGAGACAGCATGCTGTTTCCTGAATAGCTGCCATCATAGATCATGTCCGATGCATGAAGCTAAAGCTGAGTATGGCTTCTTAGCTTACACGCTGCATGGGCTGCTTGCGAAGGAACAGAGCTTTTGATTCGAAGAGTTCCGGCCTGATGTTGACAAAGTTGTGGAGCGCAAGGCACCACATGGACTTGCCAAAGGTGAATCAGACGCTGTCCTTCCTGACACGAGAGCACGTGTCGCAGAGCTCCCAATCAGATCGCCCTTAGCAACGCGGTGTAAGCATCAATAAGATCAGGTTGAAGTCTCCAATTGAGATGTGTCATAGGAGGCCAGACATCGACCAAGTTGTGCATTGCACGCATCGATGGCACTTCACAGGCTGGTGCTCCGGAATCAACGCCCCGAAGAGGAGAATGTTGAGGAGCACTGTGTCAGAAGTTCCCCTGTTCCAGCCCAGAACTCACATCCGGGTTTGCAGGACGAATTCCAGGTAGCTTTGGAGCGCGAAGAGCTTGTGCTTCAGCTTTTTCTTTTGTGNNCCCCCCCCCCCCCCCCGCCGCGGCTGGTTTTGAAATTTCGCTACCAGGCGCGTTCTCTCATCAAGCAGCAAGCACCTCAGCTGAGTCCTCAGCAAGATGTTGCCAAAAAGAGTGCAAGGCAAGGCAAGTCCAAGATCAGAAGACCTTAGGCAGCTATATCGATGCCGGCGAGAGCTTGAAAGAGACACTGACGGCACTCCAGAATAGATTGCTTCGACGTAGCATGTGACTTGCTGACAGTGTTGAAAGCAAGGATGTACAAATCAGATGTTGCTGAAAAACCATGCGACAGCAGGCCGCCAAGGACGAGTTGGTAGAGGACATGCAGTTCAAGAGGCACGCGCTTCGCCGGCGCCTTCAAATACGTTGAGCAAGCGGCCGACGCTGTGGAAAATATCCTTGTCAAGCGACATGTCCCCTGTTACACGATGGTGATAGGGACAATCTACTGTCTCATGCGTTCTACTTCCTTGTCGTCCAGCTGGAGACAGACGTCCCAGTTTCGACGTTCACTGCAGCCCGCCCATGAGAGCCTACTTCTTGGAACTCACAATCCCTACTTCGTTGAAGGGGTGACAAAAGAATTTGAATTCTAGCCTGTCGAGGTTTGTTGTGTTGCCTGGGAACTGCTCTTGCTTCCAGTTGTTCTGCTTGCATATCTTGCACAAAGTCTTGAGTGGCTATTCGGTGTTAGGTCCAGTCCCCGATTCAGATCGATCCTTGCGCCAGACCATATTTCTTCGTTGAGGTCTGGAAAAGTCTGCGCTGCAATTTGACCCTTACCACGGGCGAGATCGAGCTTGTGTGCTGCTGGGTCCTCGGCTCCTCTTGGATACAAGTACTTGTACAGCACAGCTGAGGCCAATGGTCGCAGAAAGCAGCAAGGTGAGAAAGAAGCCAGACACTTGGCGACCCCTCGAGCTGCCACACGTTCCTGTTGAATGTACCATTGCAACTTTTGTCAAGAGGCGTCATGTCGTTGAAACTGCCATGTGCCATTTGCCATCAAGCCAAGCAGCAGGCTAGCAGGCTAGTAGTTCCACATGGTCTCAGAGAATGTCTTCTGAGTCATTGTGAGCATTCAGTAGCCCGCCATTTTTACGCACAGGGTCTCGAATGCAATCATGGATGACGAGTCCAGAGACACCGGTCAGGCAGCGCCTGAGGGCAGCGCCAATGAGGCCAAGGTTTTGCCAAGAAGTATTCACAACATGGCCGGACGGAAACCAGTCCCAGGCTGTGCAGGACTCGGAAGCTCCAGTCAGCACTGCGAGTAATGCCGGCATTAGCAAAGGCAAAGGCAGGTTGCCCGTCAAGTGAGTTTTGAGCCGGCAGAAGCATCATGTGCATCGCCTTGCCTGACGGAAGCAAGGGCTCAAGTTGGAAAACTACAACTGCGCCTTCTTCCGTCGTAGCTTCATGGCGCTCTGTAATGTGCTCAACACGCATCAGTGCCGAAGCATCGCCCAAGTGTAGGTCTCTCCTGAGAAACGGTAAGCCGAGCTCATGTTGGGATGCGGATCTACCCAGTCTCCACCTTTCTAGCGGGTGAGCCATATCCTGCATCGGTCACCACAGGCATCGCCGAATCACTTTCGTTGGAACGAGAAAGGCGGCAGTTGTACTTGCAGGTGCAGTGATGTTGCCTGGCAATTTGCAATTTTGCACTGCGCGGTGTCTGACCGCAATGAAACTTACTGCATGCTGAGCTAGAAGCCAGTGCACGCTGTCCAGTGTCATAGTATCATATAAGTGCAGCTGGAAGCTGCAGGGAGAACACTGCGCATTTGAGTGAAAAGAAAGGTGCCTGCTATTCCATCGCTTGCAGCATCCAGTCATCTTTTTTGGTAGGCAAGCCTGGTAAGGGCGCGCCTTTGCCGAAGCAGAAGCCTGGAGCGGACAGCAAGTCACAGAACGAGCCCGCATCTGTTGCAGTCGCTTGTTTTGAAAGGCATTTCTCATGGTTCTGATGTTGGATGCGGAAGGGGGGGCGCACGGCTCCATGCAGCCGAGGTCGACTTGGCTGTGCCGTTTACTCTGGAGCGGCCGCCAAACAGCGACAAGGGCGGGGTGCCGTGGCACATCAGGGTACAACCCAAGGTGTACAAGCCTGAAACCCTTTGATCTGAACCCTCAACTCTACACCCCAAACCCTACAACCCGGAGGCTCTCAAGTCTGAGGTCTACACTCAACCTGCTAGCCCGGCAAACCCCCGAACTAGAGCCAAACAGCTCTACATCCATGGGTTCCCCCACCACCTCCCCCATAAGGACCCCCTCAGACAATTAGGGTCCTGTTAGGGGCGTATTAGGGTTTATGGGCCCTCTAAGACTACTATTAGGGGCTTATCAGTGTTCCTTTTTTTGAGGGGGTTCTCAAGGGGGGATGGTAAAGGAACCCATGATACATCCTCATCCGTAACAGCAGGTCCTGTGTGGTGGGATGCCTATCAAAAAAATTCAGTTATCATCGAAAGAAAATTGAATTATGATCAAAAAATCAATCACAATCAAAAAAAAACTTTCGAGATTTAATCAGTAACTGGAAACCCAAAGGCCAAAGCTGAACAAATTTATTTAGTATGTAGTCCCCAGCCGTGAAGCCGTCAAACTCAAACCCCAATCCTTGTGGCTTTCGCAGTTTTACAGTATTTCCTTTTTTCTACCTCGGCCTTGGACCGGCGAGCCCCAATCCTTGAAGGTTTCACCATTTTCAAGGATTTCGTTTCTTTGTTGATCCTTATTTTGGTTGTTTCTTGATCGCTTTTTAAGTGTTGTGTTTTGATCCCTATTTGGGTTTTTCATCCCTCACCCCGAATGGGCCGGATGCATAGCCGCACTGCACCTCCTACAGGGAACTGTTCCGATCAACGTAGCGTATTTCTCGCACAAAGCTGAGAATCAGGTGATCAAGTTCAAAGCCAATGGCACTGGCAGTTCTCAACTGCTCTTCTTGGTCCGCCAGTTGACTGACAGTGGTCGGCAAGAAAAGGCCTGCGACTTATTACAACTGTGTGGAAGGCCCAGACTATGGCAAAGCATCTGTAAAGTAATTCCAATCTCAGGGATTTGATTATGGCTCAGTGTTGGTGCCAGGCCATCCGCATCGATCAAGCTATTCGGTACCTGGGCCGTCTTCGAGCCTTGCGATATGAGTGTGACAACTACAACGAGGGCACTCGGCATGCAGATGCACAGCAGCCTGACGGCAACCAGAGGTAGAAGACTCACGGCGTCAGCATGCGGTCAAGTAATTCAAGTAGAACGAAGATGGAAGCCCCAAAGGCGCTTCTTGGAATTCTGTTCGTCCTGTGGCCGGCAGCCTCAGATGCTAGCCTGCTTGCCTGTTCACAAATCCACACATGCAATCTAGGTAGCCTGCATGCTTTCCATGGCATCACAGCCTATGGGATGAGGCGTTCAAGCGGGAGAGCGTCCAGTCCAACTGGACGGCTTGGACGAGCTAATAACAACCCTGGAAGCTGAGATCGAGGATTTGCAGGCGCTGAGGGATGAGATCAGCACAGGCAGGACGGCTGGATCAGTGCATAATTTCCTGCAGCCTGGCATTACGGTGGTCATTCCGCGCGGCCAAAAGGTTGTGTGTTGTCAAGGCGGTATCAAGACCTACCTTGGCCGCAGGCTATGTGCAGTTCCTGGCCTTGGCTGAGGTCTTCACACCAGGCAAAAAGGCCATGCTTTAAACAAGACAGTAGAGATCCCGCACAGTCACTACAGGGCCACATCTTTACAGTCGATTCAAGAGCTTAGCCATGCTTAGCCCAAGATGGAAGGGATAAAATGCCTTGTCTGTGTGTTTGCCAGGGATGGTCGGTCGTATACATACGCATGTGTTGCAGTTCGCTGCGTTGCTCGTTCGTGGATTGGATACTAGACGACCTTGAGTGGCGCAGGTGTTCATGCAAGTCGATGGATTGAGCGAGCCCGTCGGCATGACCGTACTGCAGAGTTGGTACCAGGTGCAGCAAACTTTATTTGGGCCGGAGAAGTCCTTCCATATGGAGTTTGAATTCCTAGCATTCTTGGGATCAAGCTTTGCACTCGTCAACTTTCAAGAGGTGATGTCGACCTTCAAGGGTGTAAGGAGGCTGGACTCATTATTCTACATGGCAATGACTGACCAGATGATGGCAAAGTTGCATCAGCGAGGAATAAAATATCTCGCCGCGGCTACAAACTCGCCATACGTACAATATCAGCGCGGGTCCTTTTTTGCCCACGGGCGCGCAAAGCACGCTACTCTCTCAGGAGGTCGTGTTATGTTGGACACTCAAAGGGGCCATGAGTATGGTCACCAAGCAGCGCGTGGAGGAGACAGTTGCTCTTTAGCTCTCCAGCAGGCCATGCGAAACTTCAAACTGCAGCAGAAGCACGGCACGGAAACGCTAAGATTGGTTCGGGAACCTCTGGAATCTGAGCTATGGATGGCATGGCCAGCAATGGTAGGCTTCTCCTTTACCGCGAAGTGTTGGGGGCAAGTACTGGTGGCGGACACATCCCCGATCCAGTTCAGAGCCGATGCATTTGAACAGCTCGTTCTTCCCAAAGACACGAAGGAGATTATCCGGTCAGACTCTCAGAATCTAGCAGACCACCAAAAGCCGCCGCTCTTTGCTCTCATTTTTTGTGGTCGCTCCACATTTTTGAACGGAGTGACGGGGCAAAGCCCAGAAAAGCTAAGGTCCGCAGTGCGCCATGCCAGCACAAGCGGGCTGGATTTCATTGAGGGCAAGGCCGCGATGCAGTACTGTAACTCAATCATGGATTCCCTGCCAGCCCTCATGATGGGGAAGGTTTAGGCAACGTGAAATGCAGGCAGGCATGCTGAGTCTTCTTTCCACAGCAAGCCTCGGGATTGACTTGCACCTGTCAGGGCGACAACACCATCTTTCTGCTGCATGGCCCACCTGGGTGCGGGAAAACGCTGACCGCCGAAGCCATCGCGGAAATGCTGCACATGCCACTCTATGCGTCTGGTCTGCCCAGACTTGGAACCTGTTGGCTTCAGCGCGTGCTAAATGCTTTAGTGAAGTTGTTCGCTGAGGTGGTTACTGCAGGAGATTTGGGCATCAATGCCCAAGAGGTGGAGCAAAACCTATCGCAGGCCGGGGGGGTGTCCTGAGTTTGTTGCACGCTGGGCTTGAGTTGTTTGTAGTTTCCTTCGGGCTCCTGTCCATTTACAACGGCAGAGGAAAAAGCCAGGGGCAGACGGAGACTTCAGGATCGAAGTCTTACTGTAGAGCGTCCACCAGACAAACAGCAGCAGATTCAAACCGCAAAGGAACCTTGCGCGTAGTCACCCAACATTGGTTTGCATGCTTGAACAACTAGATCACGCAGCACCGGCAGCTCTGATTTGTAATGTCGAATCCTGATTATTGCGGGGTTGCAGCAAGGTAAAAGTTTCAAGCAATAATTCTGGACCCGTAGTTGATTGGGGGTGCCAACAAAGTAAGGGGTTTGTTAGCTGTAAGGTTCTTAAGGTTCTTGACAAGGCCAGAATGCTCTTAGTTGAAATGCTAGGCATTTTAATATGAATGCCGAGCTCTCTTACCCTTGGAAACTGGAATCTGATGCCACCAAGAACAATCAATTTCTCATTCAGATGCTTATTCGAACAGGCTAGGCAATCAAATTCCAAAGGGGTTAGTCCAGCAGACCCTCGATAATGTAAAAGATTTGGCGGGTCAAGTATGTAAAGATTGTGGGCTGGGCGAATTGTGAGGCCATTTTAATTTGTTTTCAACTGTTTCCAATCGATTGCTAAGCAACGGTCTAATTGATGTTACTCCAATTTCAGTAGATATTCCTTGGATTTTAGTTTATGTGACTCGATTGTGAGAGGTTTTAGAGGCCAGGCCCTTCCTATTCTCTTAAAGCTAAACTGACACCGAAGCCGAAGGATCGCCCTTCCCTTATTGATTTTGATAGGAGCCATAGGATCCCCCAGACCCTCCCACTTCGCTCTGTGGACTCTGTATTATAGAGGCTCCCCTTTTGGTCTGGGGGGCCCCCCGACACAGATCAGGATCGAACATTACAGAGAAGAAATCAAACTCCAGGTCCTGCACCTCTGTAGCGAATGGAATGCCCTGACACTGATCGATGAGGCTGCCACTCGCCTTTCTCATGTGCCCAGGATACAGACGCATCTTTCGTTTCAATTCTCCGCATGGCAAAGACGGATTCCCAGTTCCCGCCTAGGGCCTGAGCTCACATCATGAGGGGATGTTAGCGGGTCACGATTGCTGAGGACATTTTCCTGGAAGCCCGAAGCTCCTCGGAGCTGCAGCGGAATGCGCTGGTTTGCGTTATGCTGCGGTTGTTGGAATACCACCAAGGCAGGGCTATGCGGGGCTACAACGTACTTGTTGACGCATGGGCTACATTGACATGCGGGCATTGCTAGGAATCCTTTTCTTGACATCGAACCGAGCCGGCAACATTGATCCCGCTGCCCGCTGTCCGGCCTAGCCTTTAAGCCCGCGAAGCTGAGACTTCATGTCATGTCCAGCATCCCTGTAACCATCTACAGTGGTGTATGTGTGTGTGACACCTAAAGCCCGGGCAGAGTTCCGTGCAGCATAGGTCCGGTCCCGCATCACTGTGGCGCTGCACTACGAGGCATTAAGCCGAAATGGTCGTGAGGCAGTATGGCAAAACCTGCTGCAGAGCCTTGGCATGCTCAGTAGCAATGATTGGCTGTTCATGAAACCCGCAAAGAAGCCCAGGAAAATTCCGCATGCTCAAGTGGACGTCAAGAAGCTGGCACGCCATGCTCTCAATGGAAGACAGATCAAGAGTTGCTTCGGCTGGATTTACGTCATGAAGTTATGCACATCACCTTCACCATGAGCCAGCTGCAGATGCGCTGCAAATTAAAATTGCCACAGCAATGCTAACATCACTTTTGCTGCCCTCCCAAATTGCAGACCTTGGCTTAAGGCTGCCTGCTGCTTGGGAACGCGCTGGCTGCAGAGCGTGCAGAGACACTGACGGAAGCGTTGATCGAGCGCGCCGTGAGTGTGGTGGGCGATCAGACGGGGGAAGGCAGGCTGAAGGATCAGGATAGCGGGCGTGCTGGTTTGAATCCAAGTCAACGCTGCCCCTTCACAGGTACGGCAGAAGATGCACTCCAAGAACATCCTCAATCATCTCGCCGGGTGTACATGCCTGGCGTAATGCAAGCCGCAACCGCGACGGCAATTCCACGTGGGCGTAACATAATTCAGAAAGAAGCCTCAGGCTCGACACTTGTTACACCCAGGGTGTCACGGGAAAGACCACTACAACCAAGGGATTCGTCCAGCCCACTTCTTCCTGGCACTGCGCCTATGCTTGTGCCGACAGTTTCGAACAGCATCCTGATGCCTTCGAGCCCACGATTGATTGCAAGCACACCTCCTAACCCCTCCACCCGAGGCCCCCCAAGCCAAGGGCCCAGCGCGCCTAGCGCGCCTAGCCAGAGCAAAGCGTCTCGCTTGTGGGAGCCGGCTCAAAGTCAGCGGCAGCTACGTGAATCATCCCACCTGGTTTTAGGCCACGACGCTAACCCCTTTCTGCAGAATGGACCGGCATTGAGTCGAATTCCACCGGACACCAGAGCATTCACGGATGCAGCCCCGCAGCTTTATTCCTAACGAAGTGGCATTGGTGAGTGACTCCAAGCCTTGCATGCTTTGGATTGTTTGAACAGGTAGAATGCATGTGGCACGGTGGGCAAAGCCTCAACCCCATTGCTGCTACAACTTCTGAGTTGCATGAGTTGCGATTGTTGGCCCCGAAACATGTGAGTGCCCTTGGCGCGAAGGAGGGGTAGTCAGCTTTTTACTGAGCAGATGGGAGTCCTTTGTAATTGTTGCAAAGGCAAAGCACTGCTACTGCTGATGGGAACGTGCCGCTCGGTTGCTGTAAGGTCTGGACGAAGGCATTGCAACCATGGCCATGAGATGCACAAAAGCTCGCAAGTCTGGAGGCACGAACTTCCTGTAAGCACGGAATGACTGACCAAGGCAATCTGGCTACGACATGCCCCCATTCAAGTTTGGCACCACGCATAAAAGCTTGGACAGAGAGACTTGGAGCACTATCCTCAGCCTGAATCCTTTGCTGAAAGTGTACCAGTGCCATGCTTGCATTGCAGCATGTTCAGCTGATCTTAGGTGAAGACAGCACCGAGAACATTCAGAGGTCAGTCCAGACCTTGGCACCATTGTTCTTTTCGCGAGTGCAGCGCTGGGTTCAATGGTTCGAGGTGAAGCACACGCATGAGCTGTTGGAAAGGACAGCGCAACAAGAGTTTCTTTTTTGCGCCGACTTAGTAGAGCACAAGATCTACAAGTCGACGAGGACCCAAGAGTTCGAAAAGGATGCTTCCAAATTTCTTGACCACGCGGCGGGATCCTATGTCTTTGGCATCCACTGGAGCAACACTAAAGAGAATGCCTTCTAAGGCCGAGCTGGTCAGCCGTGTTAAGCAGCAGGTCAAGAATGCTCGGGAAGCTTGTCAATCCAGCCAGCCTCAGAGATGTGACGATTCCAGAAGCAACTTGAGCGCTTTTTCATCCAGCTGGCCCAGGCATGCAAGCAAGCATCTTCAACTTATCCCAGCAGAAGAGGGAACTGGAGGAAGGTGTCGCGCAAGGTGAAGATCTTGGACGGTATGTTTGCAAGATAGGATTCAAGCTTTCAGCTACACTACCCCTTTCACCCTTTCACCCTTTCATTAGCCTCAGGTCAGCTGGACGTCAATCGAACAGAGGTTCTCCTCCAACACATGCAGCAGGAAATCAGAAGCCAGAAAGCGCTGCCTGCTCAGTTGACGGTCTGACTTGGACTTGTTTCATTGGAGGCTCAAAGACTGAGGTCTTTGGAGCAATGGGATGAAACTCAAGAGATTCCTCTCCAAAAGCTGGCAGCTTATTCCGCGAGAGTAATGCAGCATGTCCCCGACCTGGGGGATTGCTTTGGGTTCATTGAGGTTCGATCAGCGGCTTCCACTGGCTATACAACAGGCCTGGAGCGAAGTATGAATCTGAAGCCCGGAAAGACCGGTCAGCAAGGACATGCGCCTAAGTGCAGTCGATCGCATGCAGGACTGTCTTAGTTCAGGAGGAAGTGTTGTTTGCGTCAGGGAAATTGAATACTTTTTTTGAAGGGAAGTGAGGACAAACTCGCTCCCATGATGTATGATCGCAGCTTGACCATCTTGAAGGAGCAAATGCATAACACCCGGAGCAATGCAGGAGCTCTCAGTTGCCTGTTGCGTATAGTTCAAGACATGCCCAGCTGCCAGCTGCTCAGGTCCACATCCTGAGCAACAAGTGTGAAGAGACGAGAGAACTTCTGCAGTTGTCCCGGCTTTCAGGACTCTTTGCCCCATGCCAAGCCTCATAAGTCATAAGGTCTCAGCTTCGAAGCTCCCATGAACTCCTACAGAAGCACCTGACAGCCGTTACAGCCTCTCGGCATGCTGGCTACATCTCACTGCTTTGCCATTTCAGGACTTGTCGCCTTGGCTAAACCAGTATAGCGCAGGCATCCTGGAACCTTGACATGCCCAGACCTCAGAGCCGGCGCAACTGTGGGCACGCGCAAGTGCAGTTTAGACTCGGCCTGACCACTGGCCAGGCAATGCTCAAAGATTATGTTAAGCAAGGAGATCAGGGCCATTGCTAGCATGACCATGGAGGGGCCGCTGCGGGGCTTGCCCTTTGAGGACGTCACTGCGTCATCCCTTCTTGCAAGGACAGCATCCTTTGCCATCCTCTCAGCACCTGCTTCGTATAAGCACGTGGCTGGTTCTCGAAGCGCAGGCATACCATGATGCCTAAGGCCTAGGTGTCATTCAAGTACATGAGAAGTTTGCCTTTTTCTCCGCGATCCTGGCCAAATAAGGTGCCGTCTGGCGGGCAGCTCTCCAAGGAATCCTTGGATCTGAAGCTTGCTTGCAGACGTTAAGGCTTTAAGGTGCAGAGAAGACCAGCGGTGGCAGCAGCATCTCAAGGACCTGCTATATGGCGAAGTGTTGCATTCTAAACCAAGGTTGGGAAAAAAAATGATTTCTTGGGCTGTCTCCCTTTGATATTATGGCCCAGAAGGAATTTCAGGGAAATCCTTGGATTCTATCTGAATGTGATGGACTACATTGAAAGGTCATAGAGCGGATTTAAGCGTCCGTGACCTTGTGCCGTTAAGCATTCCAAGCTTGTTCTGTGGCCTTCTATTCTCCCACAAAGCCGGTGTGCTTCTCCTGTGGCCTTCTAATTCCCGTATAACCAGGCAGGATCCAGGATTTGGGTATCCGTTCGGAGGGAAATCAGGAAAGGGTTCGTAGGGACCGGAAACAAATCAAAAAAACAAAACTCCAGCCTTCCAGTATTTTGGATCAGTGTTGAGTACATTAACCTCGGTGTTGCAAAGATTTTTCACATTATGAAGATGATGGCGACATGACTCAGAAAGAGATGTGCAGTGAAAAGCTGCAAAGAATTTGGATGCTCAGTTGGTTCAAAAGCCTTGGCCGTCTGTGAGTCCTGGTACTTGACTAGGCTGTGACTTCACACACGAGGCGTGGTAAGTGGCAGAAAGGCCTTGTGGCACTCTGCATGGCTGTCCTGGAGGCTTCTGAAGTTGTGCAAAGGAACAACTCACTGCGATTACTGGGTAGCGCATGGTGTTGCAAAGAACACTGAAGCTCAAGAGCTTGAGCAACATGAAGGCACGCCGCACTGTCCAGCCAAGGATTCGCTCCAGGATCAAAGCTGCGGCTTACGTCGGACTGGGAAACTGCCACTTTGCCGTGTCTGGCGCGCGAGAAAACAAGCATATGTCTCCAGGACCAAAGCAAGGTTTTGATGTCATCTTCAAGCGCTTTGACAAGGACCCCAGTCTTCCTATATCATTAGGATGGCTGCCATGTCGTCCCGTTTGCGGCCATAGGGCTGACATCAGACATGCAGGATGGCTCTGGGACATTGTGCTTTGAAGAGGTGAGGAGCGCCTTGCGTCGCATACTCAGGCACGGCGTAGGGCTGCAGGGCCACTAATGTTAGCCATGTAAAGCGAAGCAAAGCATCACGGCAGGATTCCAACTTCCAGTCTCAACGACCATCAGATCTCATCCTTGTGCAAAACGCGTGGCTCACAGAATGCCGGCAAGAGCGAACTCGTGGAGCTGGCTGCCATGGCCAGTGCCTTGCAAGTGCTTCGCAAGGCTGGATAGTAACGATTCTGGCAGCGTTGACATTGCCGAGCTCGTGGCCTTCCTTGGTTGGACCCCGAATGGGATCCCGCTGTACAATCTCAACTTATGGCCCCCAAGGTGCAGCGCCTCTAGAAGAGAAGCTGAAGAACGATGGCTTGGGCAAGGCCACGATAGGTATAAAACTGTGGCAACTTGGAGTGAAGCTTCCACACCTGCAGATTGGAGACAGCTCGCTCCAGCTGGATTGCTTTGCCTTAACCCTAGCAGGGCCTGGGACAAATCATGTTGTAAAGGAGAAGATTGAGGTCAATCGCAAGCCCCGCCACAACAAGAGTCAGTGCGCACCAAAGCCCATTGTTGGCTTGAGCAAGTGCTGGCCTTGGCGGCAGCGCGTGATGATGTGGCATCCTTTCATTCCATGCTCTGAGAGCTTCCTCTGAAAGCTGTGGATTGCATGCAAGACACAGCCTCGGCACACCTTTGCCAGGAACCCATTGCCACAGAGTGTGGTGGAAACGCTTCGGTCGAAGATCAAGGCTCCCAACATTTGGGGAGCGAATTCTCCCTAACAAACACGCGTGAAACAATCCCAACTCTCGAAGACGTTGCTGCCAGTATTTGTGCATTAGGGTCTACGCCAACCCGCCCCAAGCCTTTCCATCGTCAAGACCCGTGTTAAGACCAATGCTAGGCAGCTGCCTATAATGGACAGCTCGGACGTGAGATTCGAGCCAGAGACTTGGACTTGTGATCTGTTACCTGCAGCTCTGGCTGTTCTTGCAAGCCAGCACAAGCATCCTCATAGGCTTTGTTTTCCCGATTTGACTACAATGGCTCCGGAGTCTTGGAGGTCATTTGCTCATCTGCCACTTGACATGGCACACTGGAATCCACATGTGGTTGCAGTGACACACTGTTTGGCTAGAGGCGGATGAAGTTCGCCAGGTGCTTCGACGAGCTATGAGGACTAACACAGGCGAACGTGCTGCGTGACCAGATTCTGGTTCCAGGATCCCACCAAGCGTCATTTCGGACCAGCAGATTTGGAGGCCTGCTACCTTTTGGATCCTGCGATTCCTCCATGCTGCAACCAAGCCTCTCACAAAGCTCAAGGCTTTGTGCCATGCTGGATGTGGACAAGTCCGGTGTCAGCAGCTCAGACGTGCCTGAGAGCCGCAAACTCGATGTTTGGACACGTTGCGGGCCATGTGGGCACTGAAGGCCATCAGCATCAGTGAGCTTACGCAATTTGCCAGAAACTCAGGGATTTCAGGTCATGTGGCATGAAAGCAAGGTCAAATCTATCAGCAGCAAAGGTGGGCAAGGAACCCTGAACTCCGACGAAGCAGCTAGAGGCATCCTCCTCCGATGCTGTCAAGAAAGAGCCGCGTCAGAAGAAATCCTGGCTCACCCCAACTACCTAGCATTCTAGGAGTCTTCCAGGACAAGAGGCAAAGGCCATCGTGATGTAGACACCTCTCTACGCACCTAGTCGAGGACAGCACACAGATCTCTCGAAGAAAGACCGCTTTTAAAAACTTCGCAGGCAGATTGCTGTAGTTTTCAAGCATATTGAAGCAGGGGTGCTGCACGGTGCTAGGTGACATTCTGAGAGTGGCCTTAGCGTTTGTGTCTTTCAGGTTCAGGCGGCAGGCGGGCAGAAGTCTGCACGCGAAGCATTACTCCCTGACTGATATGGGGCCTGCCAAGCATGCCATATGTCAGTTTGTGATCTTTACGTGGAACAAGATCATCAGGAAAGATATTCCAGGTTCGCAGAATTGCCTTGCTTTCTTCGCATGCCAATTTCATAGATAAAGCCCTCTCTTTGAATCATACAGAGACTCATGAGAAATCTTCCCCCAAAAGATATTTGGAAGAGACGCTTTTATAGTCAATATAAGACTATATACAGGTGGCACCGCCCCCTTCAAAGATCAACCGTGTTTAGGGTATAAACTGAGAAATCTAGGTTCAAAAGCGAGCTGGAACCATTTGATTGAGGATCTCAATTAAGGAGCACACACTTTACGAAAGCAACTTGAAAAAACATTTGTTTGATGATCGTTTAAGGCATTTGCTTAAGAGCCTGCATATCTAAATCCGCATTTGAGAAATCTAACGAAATGCGGCCCCAGGAATCAAGAACTAAGATCTTCAAGATTCTTTTTAGGGCCTGGCTGCATTTGACTTATATTCTTAAATATAGAATTAAATACAGCCAGGTCATAAGAATCGAGATATTGAGGATTCTTGGTTCCTGGGGCCTGATCATATTTCACTCAAATTTTGAAATACGGATTTAAATATAGCTAGACCTTAGAAGGCGAGAGGCAAAAACCACGAATCTCGAATAATTTAATTTATGGGATCTGATCGTAATCAATTAAAATATTTCATTTATAGTTTTATATATAGATGGACCCCAGAAATTTAGAATCAAAATTTGCTAGTTTCGAATTTAAGATTTAGGCAATAATTATGAATTAAATGCTAATAGATAATTCATCTAGCTAATAAATCGATTTTGGCGGCGTTCTGGATGGGAGAATGACGGAATCTACGCGGATCTCATTTCGGGGTTTAGGGTTTAGGTAGATATATTAGATCTTGATATATTCTTCATCGATATTACGGATTATATACGGACATTATACGGATTTATATTAAAAGGAAGAAATGATAATTTCTCATTTATTCATGAATTATTGTATATATTTAGATAATTCTGTATTAATTGATACGTATATTTATTACGAGATATTCATTAAAAAATAGCTAGAATTGATTTAGAAATTTTATATTCATAAACTAAGGATTTTATTTAGAGAAATTAAGAAATGGCAGGGATTTATAGTTCGAAAATAATTGGATATACGATTTATTTGAAAGCAATCGGGAGATAAGAAGCTGAAAATTCGCATTTTGAAAAAGGAAAGAATTGCAATAAGAATCTTATTCTTTGAGTTCGGAATCTATTTAATATAAAATTCATATGAGCTATTGATAATATTGATTTTGCCAAGGGATCATTAAAGGTAGATATAGGGATTTCTCTAAAAGATCTCTAATAATAATTGTATTTAGGAATTTATCTTTCTTTCCTAAGATATATGAGATATATTGATTATATTCTATATCTAGAATAGTAGGGCCGTAGAATATGATTTTCTCTTTTTTCAAATCAAAATATAGATAATATTTTTTTTTTTAATGAAATATACGTATATCTAATAAATATTTGATATATTAAGATATAAATCTAAGATTGAGAATTCTTCTTTTATTCTTATATTTATTCTATAAGGGATATATATAGAGAAAAGCAGGGTCTTAGGGCTCTGGATCTTATTTATAAATTTGATATTCATTTGATAAGGATTTTCTTTGAAAGATAAGAAGGCCGGGATCAAAGAATTATATTTGAGATTCGTAATCAGTTTACTATCATATATATAAAATACAAGGAAAAAGAAAATTTATCTATAACAATGGGAATCTAAGATTTGAGGATTCTTCATGAAATCTATAGTATATTTAGTCGGGATATATATGCAAGGAATAGAGGATTCTAGAATTTATCTTGAAATTCGACGTTCATTTAATGAGGAGTTTATCTAGAGAAAAGAAGAAAATGAGAGTCAAAGAATTATTTTTGAGGTCTTAAATTTGCGGAATATTCTAAATTCAAAAAATTTCAAAAATTCAGAATTTCTCAATTTCCGAAAATTTTAAGCAACTATAAAGATTATAAAATTCATAAAAACCGTAAAAATTCATCAAAAAATCTGAAAATTCCAAAAATTCTGAATATTCAAGAAAGTCCAAGAATTCTAGGACTAATTTATCCTAGATATATTTGATTCTATCTTGGAATTTTTGAACTTTTGGAATCTGGGGAATATTCGAATAATCCTGATTATAGTTGGATTAATTTTGGAAGTTTTGGAATTAGTAATTTTTCTGGAATTTGGAATCTGGAATATTATCAAAAATCATGAGCATATTTGATTCAATTTTGGAATATTTTTAATTCTTGGAATTTTTGGAATTTGGAAATCTATCTCAATCTAATTATTTCCTTCAATTTCTCAATGATATATTGGATAAACGTGGATTTCTTGGGAGATATCAAATATTCAGATATAGAAAATATATTAAAGATGAATATATCGTTTTCTATAAATATTAATGAATATATCGTATTAATAGAAAGATTCAAAATATATTATGGGAAATAAATATTTCGAAAAAGATAAAATAAGAATGATGATTCTCAAAGATTATCTTCTTATCTTATAAATTGGAAAATATATCAAGATATAAAAAGAAGATTCGTAAATTTTGAAGATTTCAATTTTCATTTTTATCTTATCATAAGATTTTGATTTTAAATTTCAAAATAATTATTTATTCAATTTTGATTTCATTTGATATGAAAAAAAATCATTTCATTATTATTATGATAAATAAAGATTTGAAAATCTTTTTAATTATTTTCTATATAATTATTGAATATATATAAAATGTAATGATGAGATCTCGATCTTTAGATCTATATGTTCGTATCTATAGATTCTATTGAAAATGAAATTTGAATTCTTAAATTGAAAGATATAAATATTGATTCTCTTCTATTTCTTGGAATTATATCTTATGAAATATAATAATAATGCATTTTTAAAATATATAGAGGTTCTTTTATATTTGAGATGGGAAGATCAGATTAGAATTGATTCTATCGAATTTCTTTATTATCTTGAAATATTTTATAAATTGGAAATGATTTTTTTTATTTTTCAAATTCATGCTATATTCTCTATATAGAAGAGAAGAGAGATTTTCTCACGAATTCTTGTTTGAAGATCTATCTTTAATAGATATCTAATACATTCTAATTTTTTCTGATATCTTATATAATATCCGAGAAATATTGGATTTTTGGGGCGGAGATTGATTTTTCATATTTCAAAAAGATTTATTGATTTCTATCATTATTATATATTTTCAGAATAAATTGAATAAATTCTTTTATGAATCTTCTATGAATCGTAGATAATTTCATAGATAATATATAATATCTATATATCATTTCAAAGGATATAGATTAGATCTCATTTTGATTCTCATAAAGAATTATCTAGATGAATTATATCTTCATCTCAATATTTTAATCTCTTACGAGATCTAGAAAGAGCAATCTCGAAAATATTAAGAATTCTGAATATTTGATGAAGATGCCCCGGATCTTGAAAAATCTTGATGTCTTAAGCATTGATAATTCTTTATCATAAAGATTTTCTAGAATTTCTAAGGTAAGGTCGTCATGAATGGTTCTATTTATATCTCTGATTATTTCTATATCCGGATTTATTTATCTCTATTTGATTTCTATCTATCTATTTATCTATTGATCTTTATCTATCGATCTTTGATTTTTTATAATTTTTTTTATCTCTCTTCATTTATCTATCTAATCATTCTTTTATTTTTTTCATCTCATTATATAATTCATGTATTATTTCTTTCCATTTTTCTATATATTAATATGATTATATCTATCTCTGATTATCATATTTGATTTTATGGCTCTATTACTTTCAATTCATGAAAGATTCATTAATCATATAAAATGACGCGATTATTTGCGGTCATTGGCTCATATGACGCCTGATTTTTCTGATTCTGAATTAGCATATTTCTTGCAGATCCCCTAGGGGCTCTAAAATTTCCGTGGAAATCTTTCGAAAAAATTTGAGCCTCTAGAATCTCTAGTCCGGGAAGGATATTCAAAAAATATCTCGGAATTTTGATGGTTCCCCTCCCTCTCTCTGCAGCAATTATCAAATTATCGGGGAATTGGAATGACGGTCAATTAGCCAGGGCTCCGAATTGATAATCCCTCCGTGATTCTGTCCGTCGTTCTGATGGTTTATCGATCTATCAATTCAATAATCTGTCGATCTATGAATTTATCAATCGAATTATTAGTTTGTTGGTCTAAGCATCTGAATTCTATCGAAAATTTCGATCTCTTATTCTGTCGATCTAATATTCTCTGAAATTTATCTATCCGTCTATTGGTCGATATTTCAATCTATCAATCTATTCGTCAAACGATTTGAATTCATCATTTTGAAATTTAGCAATCTATCAATTTTTTAAATAATATATCTATAGGAGAGGTCGTGCTTGACCGTATATCAGTCGGTCTCTCAATTTTTTGCTTTCATATTTTTTGAATGTATTTTCTATTCGTCGAGTTATTTCTATATAAAGTCATCGAATTGATGGTCTGTCCGTCGTTGAATTTATCGATTCTATATTTATGGTT